GGTCTTCTGCAATCAAGATTTAGATTCCGCAGTGGAGAACGATGTTGGAGGCTATTAGCAATGAAAGGTAATCGATCAGAAATGGTTTCCTGCTGGCTCGATTCAAGCAGTGTCATCACCAAAAACCAAGTGCGCAGCAGCTCTGGGTCCCGGGAGCAGCCTGCCTCTCTGAAGCGCCGGCGGGCGCCGCCGCCTGGCTGCGTACCAGCTGTGTCGTACTGTGTAAGCAAGTCCAGGCACATGGAACAAGTCCCCGACTTTCATGCGGCAAAAGTTCACATTCCCTCATAGCTGCTATCTGTGTTGGTTATGACAATACTGACTACAGTGCTCACATGATCTCTGCGCATGCTTGCCATACTATCAAAGTAAGGTTTTTTTGCCAGTCCTGGGGCTTGAACTCAGGACCTGGGCACTGTCCCTGAGCTTCTCTGGGCTCAAGGCTAGCACTCTACCTCTGGAGCTACAGCGTCATTTCTGGATTTTCTTTTTCTGCTTAGGTGGTACTGAGGAATGGAACCCAGGACTTCATGCATGCTAGGCAAGCACTTTACCATTAAGCCACATCCCAGCCCCCAGAATAATTTTTAAATAAGACCTTCTATCTATATATTAATACGCTGACCCTTCATTTTTTTCATTTCTTCGGGGTGTGTGTGTGTGTGTGTGTGTGTGTGTGTGTGTGTGTGAGTGTGTGTGTGTGTGTGAGAGTGTGTGTGTGTGTGTGTGTGAGTGTGTGTGTGTGTGTGAGTGTGTGTGTGTGTGTGCTAGTATTGAGGCTTGATCTTAGGCCTGGGTGCTGTCCCTTAGCTTTTTCACTCAAAACTAGTGCTCTATCACTTGAGTTTCATTTCTGGCTTTTTGGTGGTTAACGGGAGATAAGAGTCTCATGGAGGGGCTGGGAAGGTGGCTCAGTGGTAGAGCGCTTGCCTTGCATGCATGAGGCCCTGGATTCCATTCCTCAGCACCACATAAGCAGAAAAAGCCAGAAGTGGCACTGTGGCTCAGGTGGTAGAGCGCTCGCCTTGAGCTGAAGAACTGAGGGACAGCGCCCAGGCCCAGAGTTCAGGCCCCACAGCTGACATAAAAAAAAAAAAAGTATCATGGAATTTCCTACCTGGGCTGGCTTTGAACTTTGATTCTCAGATTTTAGCTTTCTGATTAGCTAAGATTATAGGTGTGAGCTATTGGTGCTTGGTGACACTTGATTTTTCTGTGTGTGTGTGCACACGTGCGCGCACACATGGGTGCACACGTGCACACAGACACACCAGTCCCCAGGGCTTGAACTTAGTGCCAGGGCTCTGTCCCTGAGTTTCTTTTGCTCAAGGCTAGTTAGTGCTCTACCACTTGAGCCACAGCTCTACTTCCAGCTTTTTTGGTGATTAGAGAAATCTTATAGATTTCTCTGCCCAGGCTGGCTTTGAACTGTAATCCTCAGATCTCAGCCTCCAGAGTAGTGAGGATTACAGGCATGGCCCACCCACACTTGGTGATACTTGATTTCTAAAGTATTTGTACTTAATAGATTATTCACCACTGAATGCCAAAATATGATCCCCAGTGAATTTTTAAAGACTCTTCTTCTAGAGTCATTAGGAGCTGTAACTGCTGTAGTGATAATGAACTTGCCTAAATGAGTACAGTACTTAGCGGAGAACTAGTCCTTTTAGGGGGACAGGGCCAGCAGGGCTGTCATCCGCAAGCAGGGGCGAGTAGCCCAGCCTCCCTGGAGAGCAATCTGGCAGTGTTTAAGCAAGAGCTTTAACATGTGTACATCCTGTGACCCAGAAATTCAATTTCTGGGAATCTATTTGAAGAAAATAACTGTATATACAGAAAGCTTTATGCATTAAGATGATAAATGCAGCTTTTGTTGTTGTTGATTGTGGGGTTTGAACTCCGGGTCTGGGTGTGTCTCTGAGAACCACAGCGCCACTTCTGGTTTCCTGGGGTTAATTGGAGATAAGAGTCCCATAGAGTTTGTGTGTAGGATGGCTTTGAACCGTGATCCTCAGCTCTCAGCCTCCTGAGTAGCTAAGATGACAGGTGGGAGCCACTGGCACCTGGCAGCAGCTTTTTTTTTTTTTTTGTCACTCGTGGGGCTTGAACTCTGAGCCTGGGCGCTGTCCCTCAGCTCTTCAGCTCAAGGTGAGCACTCTACCACTTGAACCATAGCACCACTTCCAGTTTTCCCAGACTTTCCTGCCTGGGCTGGCTTTGAACTGTGATCCTCAGATATCAGCCTCCTGAGTAGCTAGGATGACAGGCGTGAGCCACGGTCGCTGGCTGGAGTGGCTTTATCTAAGGCGCAGGAGCCCAGGTGTTTGAGTGCACTCAGTCTGGCTTTTCTGTCCTCTGAGCTGCCTTTGTCTCCTGTGACTGTTGGTTATTGCAGCCTTCCAGAATGTTCTAGGGCTGTAGGCCAGTGGTCCCGCCTCCTGTGCAATCCCCTGGGATGCTTCTGGGTACCTGGTTTCTGTCTCTGTGCGTGCTCCGCCCCTCCGGGTCTCTGTGGTACACAAGCCGCACCTGGGACCGAGCAGCAGCCTCCAGCCAGCTTGGCCGTCGCCATGGTGACCGCCTCACTCGGCATCCGGCCCAGGGACTTGCATAGCGGCTTTGCTCAGGTAAGAGGCAGTGAACACGGCAGTCTGCATGGCCAGCAACCCAGACTGGACCTCCAACCCCTGAAACAGATTCCTGACCTGGGCTGACCCCCCCAGGATCCTGGACAGGAAGAACAAACCCTAGGAGACACTGCCGTCCCAACACCTCACGATAACAGAACTCGCCATGGTCCTGACCCGAAGTCCTGTGGCTGAATTGGGGGGAGGGGCAAACCCATCTGTACTGGACAGATTCCTTCCCATAGGTGTGTGTGTGGGGGTCTTCCCTGGCAGAAGGCGAAGAGGGGAAGAAAGGTTGGAAAATGAAATCTTGTTTTTAAGTCTGGTATTTTTATTTTTATTTTTTGGTTCTGGTCCTGGGGCTTGAACTCAGGACCCGGCCACTGTCCCCGAGCTTGAACTCAGGACCTGGCCACTGTCCCCGAACTACTTTTCTTCTAAAGCTGGCACCCTACCACTTGAGTCACAACTTCACTTCTGGCTTTTTTTTTTTTTTGGCTAGTTATTTGAAGATGAGTCTCATGGCTTTCCTGCTGAGGCTGGCTTTGAACTGTGATCCACAGATCTCAGCCTCCTGAGTAGCTAGGATTGCTGGCATGAGCCACAGGCGCCCAGCTGGTAGGTCTTATCATTAGACGTTTGCAGATATGCAAACCAGGGACTCAGGTAAAAGCTCTAGCTGACGTCTGCCACATCATTCTACCAGGGGTGGCTTTCCACAGCTCTTTGACCACAGAATGTGACTTCCTGGAGAGGGGAACAGTGGCGTTCAGGGCAAGGGACCCCAGGAGGAGTTGGGCAAAGGACACACATTTTCAGGCCTGAGCAGAGTCAGCTCCTGGGTGGATGGCATAGAAAACCATCACGCTTCCATACTGCTTGTGCATAGAAGTAGCCATTGTTCGCTGTGTGTGTGTGTGTATTTGGGTAGGTGTGGCTCAAGTGGTAGAGCACCAACCTTGAATGGAAAAAGCCAAATGAGAGTGTGAGGCGCTGGTTTAAGCCCCTGTGTAAGCACAAAAAAACAGAAACCAAAACAAGTCCCAGAGCCAAGGATGCCTGTTACCATGGTAACAGTACCATGTAACCAGTGGGTCAACAGTACTAAGGCCTGCAGAACTTACAAGGAGTCAGGCTCTAACTGTGGCCTCTTGTTAGTCCATACATGAGATAGTAGATCTATGTTGTCCATTTAAAAAACCATAAGGAAGCCAGGTGCCAGTGACTCACACCTGTAATCCTAGCTATTAAGAAGGCTGAGAGCTTTGGAATATGGTTCAAAGCCAGGGCAGGAAAGTCTGTTAGACTCTTATCTGCAATTAAGCACCAAACAATGTGGATATGGAGCTGTGGCTCAAGTGGCAGAATGCTAGCCTTGCGCAGAAAGGCTCAGGACAGCACTCGAGTCTTGAATTCAAGTCCCAGGACCAGCAAACAAAAATAACTGTAACTCCTCTGTATATCACCTTTACAGTAAAATAACAGGCTGGGAATAGGCTCAGTGGTAGAGTGCTCGCCTTGAATGCATGAAGCCCTGGGTTCGATTCCCCAGCACCACATAAACAGAAAAAGCCAGAAGTGGTGCTGTGGCTCAAGTGGCAGAGCAAAAGATGCTCAGGGACAGCGCCCAGGCCCTGAGTTCACAAGCCCCAGGACTAGCAAAAAAATAAATAAAAAGCCAGGTGCCAGTGAGCTCACGCCTGTAATCCTAGCTATTCAGGAGGGTAAGATCCGAGGACAGTGGTTCAAAGCCAGCCCCCTAGGGCAGGAAAGTCTGTGAGACTCTTCAACTAACCACTAGAAAACCGGAAGTGGTGCTGTGGCTCAAGTGGTAGAGCACTCACCTTGGACTGAAGAGCTGAAGGACAGGGCCCAGGCCCAGAGTTCAAGCCCCATGATTGACAAAAAATAAAATTATAAAACAAAACCCCATAACTGAGGGCCCACAAGAACTTATATCAAACAAAGACAGTATGTAGTAATGATAAATGATACACCCAATGTGTGGGGGTGGTGGTGTCCCAGAATGAGACCCTGAATTCACCGGGCCCTAGACTTTCCTTTCTGAATACACCAGTACTCAATTTCCAGTCTACAACACTCTATAATACCCCCTTGTGCGCTGCGCCAGGGATAACTTGATCTTTGGCGCCACCTGCAGGTCAGCTTCCATGCAGGACCAATGCACGGAGGATTCCTAAAATCTCTAATCCAGTTACCATGGGGAAAGCAAACGCCCTGCTATCACTCTATCTATAGAGGGATATCATGATTCCAGGCATGGCATGAAACTTTGAATGTTCCTGGCAGATCGCTCTACGGGTATTTACCTTGTTTTTTTTTTTTTATTTATAAAATAGAGGGGAAAAAAAAGCCCACACACAAGTCTGTCCATTGAGCAGTTGGGAGCACGCACGACCCAGGTTAAGAACCAGACCTCTTCCCAGCACCCCAGACTCTGGACGGACGCCGTGGCGGCCTCAGCCCTTCTCTCTAGACGTAGTGTTCGTCTCACTGAGGAGTCTGTTCTGGATGAGGGGTCAGTTTCGCAGCTGGAAGTCAGCTCTGTGTGCCAGGCAGGGCCTGGCGTGCCCGGTGCCACCTTCCGACGGCCAGGGGAGACGCGGGCGGGCAGCATGAGGCCGGCGCAGAACGCGTAAGCACCGGGGCCGGTCCTTCCCTGCGGCCCCAGCTCTGCCTGGGCCCCTGTGGTCACCTAGAGGCCGTGGCTGGACTCCAGGTGCCCCTCCAGCTGCCCCACGGAGACCAGCGCCCCCAGCTGGCCCGTGGCGCTGCCCTCTGGGGGGAAGGTGACCAGCTGTGCGTCCTTGCTGTCCCCCTGGTCACTGTGCTGCTTCTGGTGACAGCGCAGGGAGTCATCCCTGACGAAGGCCGCACCGCAGGTCTCGCAGCGGAAGGCCCTGTGGGTCCCGGCGGCCGCCGGGTCTCCAGGCCCCGCCCCTCCCCGCCCCGCGTGGTTCTCCGTCTTCGCCTGGTCCCTGTGGATCTTGTCCATGTGCTTGGCCAGGCTGCTGGGCCGCTTGGTGTCGAAGCTGCAGAGGTCGCATTTGAAGGGCCGGTCCTTGCAGTGCACGCGCTCGTGCACGCGCAGCGCGGCCGGGCTGGAGCAGGAGTAGCTGCACTGCGGACACTTCTCCGGGTGGTCGGCCTGGTGCAGCCGGCTGTGCGCCAGGAGGTCGGCGCGGTCGCGGCCCTGGAAGGCGCAGTGCGGGCACTGGAAGGTGTGTTTGATGCGGATGTGGGACTTGAGGTTGGCCTTCATGGTGCAGCGCACGTGGCAGAACTCGCACTTGAAGGGCTTCTCCCCAGAGTGCACGATCATGTGACGCTTCAAGTCCGAGCTGATCTTGAACTTGGCGCTACACAGCCAGCACTGGAAGGGGGTGTCCCCTAGCAGGGAAAGGCATGCTTCCATTAGATCAGGGAGGCCGCACGGAACACCCCAACTCCTCCTCGTCCCTCCCCCCCCCGAAAAAAAAGTATCATGACCAGGCAGCCACTAGAGGGATTGTGTCTTCTGAATTCCAACTTCCTTCAACTTTGGGGCTATGACAATCGTCACGTGTTCCAGTCGACTCCCTTACAGCCGTGGCTGAGTAAAGAGGCTGGCTTTGAACTCAGGAATCTCCCCCAGCAGTCTACATCGCAAGAAGAATGGAGATTGTTTGTGTGTGTGTATGTCTGTGTGTGTGCGTGCCAGTATAGAGGCTTGAACTCGGGGCCTGGCACTGTCTCTTAGCTCTTTTGCCCATATTTCGAGCCACATCTCTACTGGTTACTTAGAGATAAGAGTCTTCAGAGACTTTCTTTTTTTTTTTTTTTGCTGGTTGCGGGGCCTGAACTCTGGGCCTGGGCGCTGTCCCTCAACTCTTCAGTTCAAGGCTAGTGCTCTACCACTTGAGCCACAGCACCACTTCTGGCTTTTTCTGCTTATGTAGTACTGAGGAATTGAACCCAGGGCCTCATGCATGCAAGGCAAGCACTCTACCACTGAGCCACCTTCCCAGCCCTCTTCAGAGACTTTCTTGTCCAGACTAGTCGTTTTTCTTTTTGATAGTTATGGGGCTTGAACTCAGGGCCTGGGCACTGTCCCTGAGCTTCTTTTGCTCAAGGCTAGCACTCTACCACTTAAGCCACAGTGCCACTTCTGGCTTTTTCTGTTGTGTGGTACTAAGGAATTGAACCCAGAGCTTCATGCATGCTAGGCAAGCAATCTACCACTAAACCACATTCCCAGGTCCAGGAGATAGTTTTGCTGGGCATAAAAATTGTGTGTGTGTTTGTGTGTATGTGCACGCTGATACTTGGGTTTGAACTTAGGGAGAGCCTAGGTGCTGTCCCTTAGCTTTTACTTCTTTCTCTTTGTTTTTCTCTCTCTCTCCTTCCTTCGTTTTTTTTTTTTTTTTTTTGCTGGTCCTGAGGCTTAGGTGCTGTTCCTAACCCCCCCCCCTTTTTTTTTCCTTTGGTCAGTTGTGGGGCCTGAACTCTGGGCCTGGGCGCTGTCCCTCTGCTCTTCAGCTCAAGACTAATGCTCTACCACTTGAGCCACAGTGCCACTTCTGGCTTTGTCTGTTTATGTGGTACTGTGGAATGGAAAGCAGGGCCTCATGTATGCGAGGCAAGCGCTCTACCACTGAGCCACCTTCCCAGCCCCTCCTAAGCTCCTTTTGCTGAAGGCTAGCACTCTACCACTTGAGCCACCGCGCCACTTCCAGCTTTTTCTGTGATTTAATTTCCTGGCCAGGCTGGTTTCGTCGACCCACAATCCTCAGCTCTCAGCCTCCTGAGTAGGGAGGATTACAGGCATGAACCACCAGTGCCTGGCAGGAGCTATGGTTTTAGTAGTTCCCACAAAAAGGAGGAAGAAAAGCTCCTAGAAGGAAGAGTTCAACATTTGCAGTCACATTGGCTACAGTCCCGAACTACACCACGTGACCAAAACACTTCATTTACAGGTGAGAGACGCCCTCAGCACTGGACGGCTGTGCTGGGCCGAGTGAAGTTCTACCGAGCAGCTTATAGAAAGCCCTGGTTCTGGGCTGGGAAGGTGGCTCAGTGGTAGAGTGCTTGCCTTGCATGCATGAGGCCCTGGGTTTGATTCCTCAGCACCACATAAGCAAAAAGAAAAAGCCAGAAGTGGCGCTGTGGCTCAAGTGGTAGAGTGCTAGCCTTGAGCTGAAGAGCTGAGGGACAGCGCCCAGGTCCAGAGTTCAGGCCCCACAACCGGAAAAAAAAAAAATAATAAAAATAGAAGAAAGCCCTGGTTCTGGACGGGGTTGGGGGTGGGACCGGCCGCGAGGCGGCGCCGCGGCACTCACCGGTGTGCGAGCGCAGGTGCACGGTGAGCTGGCTGGAGTTGCGGCTGGCGTAGGGGCACAACTGGCACTTGTAGGGCCGCTCGTCCGAGTGGATGCGCAGGTGCTTCTTGAGGCTGCTGCTGTCCACGGCCGCGTAGCTGCACAGGTGGCACTTGTGCGGCTTCTTGTTCGTGTGGCAGCGCATGTGCATGGTCAGGTTGTCCTTGCGGCTGAAGCACTTGTCACAGAAGTCACACTTGTGGGGCTTGTCGCCTTCAACACCAAAGCACACACGGCTGTGAGGGGTTTTGGGGCCTAGAGGCTGGCCTCCCCCTCCTCCTTCCAAACCCTGTGCAGGGTACACGTAGCTGAGTACATGGATAACCCGTGCGTGTGCCAGCCACTGATCACTAATGCTCAGTGTGACACGCAGCACACGTCTCAACCACTGTGACCCCCACCTACCCAGAGACGTGCAAAGGAACCCCCGGGCTGATGTGCTTGTGTGTACGTGCATGTGTATGTGTGTGCAAGTTGGAGTACTTGTGTGTACGGGTGTGCATGAGTATCTGTGCAAGCACATGCACATATGTGAGTTTGCATGTATGTATGTGTATACAAGTTCCAGGCTTAAATTTAGGGCCTTGAGCTGTCACTTAGGTTTCTTTCTTTTTTTTTTTTTTGGGTCCAGTCGTGGGGCCTGAACTCTGAGCCTGGGTGCTGTCCCTCAGCTCTTCAGCTCAAGGCTAGCGCTCTACCACTTGAGCCACAGAGCCACTTCTGGCTTTTTTCTTTTTTTGGGGGGGGGGTCCAGTTGTGGGGCCTGAACTCTGGGCCTGGGCGCTGTCCCTCAGCTCTTCAGCTCAGGGCTAGCACTCTACCGCTTGAGCCACAGCGCCACTTCCGGCTTTTTTCTTTTTGCTTATGTGGTGCTGAGGAATCGAACCCAGGGCCTCATGCATGCAAGGCAAGCGCTCTACCACTGAGCCACCTTGCCAGCCCCTGTCACTTAGGTTTCTTGCTCATAGTTGGCTGTTCTACCAACTTCTATCTTCCATCTTCCAGGTAGGTCTCAGCTTTCTGCACAGCTAGGCTTCTGGGTGTGAGCACTGCGGTGTGAGCCCGGGTGCCGGCTGGGATTGCCCTCCTGAAGCAAGGCCCAGGGATTACGGCGGAGCGAACACTGCTACTTCTCAGAGCATTCGCCATGGAAGATAGCTACTAAAATTATTAGTATTATGTGTGTGTGTATGTGTGTGTGTGCGCGCCAGTTCTGGGCTTCAACTCAGGGCCTGGGCGCTGTCCCTGGGGTTTTTGCTCAAGGCTCTCTACCACTTGAACCACATCTCCATTTTTGGCTTTTCAGTGATTCAGTGGAGATCAGAGTCTCACAGATTTTCCTTCCCAGGTTGGCTTCGAACTGTGGTCCTTAGATCTCAGCCTCCTGAGTAGCTGCGATTATAGGCATCAGCTGCTGGTGCATGGCTACTGTGCCAGAACCCAAGCCCTTGGCAGCTTTGGTGAGTGGAAAAGGCCCACGAGCCAGGCAGGCGCAGGGTTACCTGAGCCACACCATCTCTGAAGCCAGTCAGGGCCCTGGCCTCAGAGATACACCGGTGTTGGCTGTGGCTGGGCTTGGCTTCCGGCTGGGTTGCCTGTGGGAGGATCTGGGGTGCCCCGGCTTCTCCTGCTCCGTGGCAGGCCCCTCCCCACGTCCTGTGCCCGCAGTGCTTTGCACTGAACTGTGAACCCAACCCTTCCTGCCTTTTTGTTTTTTTATCAGTCGTGGGGCCTGAACTCTGGGCCTGGGTGCTGTCCCTCAGTGATTCAGCTCAAGGTGAGCACCCTACCACTTGAGCCACAGCACCACTTCCAGCTTTTTCTGCTTACGTGGTGCCGAGGCATCGAACCCAGGGCGTCATGCATGCAAGGCAAGTGCTCTACCACTGAGCCACCTTCCCAGCCCCTCCCGCCACTTATAAGTGGTCATTTCATTGGTGTTCTCGGAGAAGCTGAGGCCACTGGCCTCTGTAGCACAATCCCTGTCATCTCCTCACACCCCTTTCCTCTCCAGCCCCCCTAGCGCTGCCTGGCACTTAGCCCGGCTGTGCCCTGCGCCCTCACCGAGGGCTTTCGGGAGCCACTCTTACCCGTGTGGATTCTTAGATGGCGGTCCAGATCTTTCATGCCGTGAACAGTTTTGAAGTGACATCCTAGGAGAGAAGAAAACACAGGTTTTTTGTTTTTTCCTCTAGCCATTCGTGTGTGTGTGTGTGTGTGTGTGTGTGTGTGTGTTGGTAATAAGGCTTGTATTCAGGTCCTTGTTCTCTTGTTTGGCTTTTTTGCTCAAGGCTGGTGCGCTACCATTTGAGCCACAGCGTCACTTCCAGTTTTCTGGCAGTTTATTGGAGATAAGAGTCTCATGGACTCTCCTATCCGAGTTGGCTTTGAACCGTGATCCTCAGATCTCAGCCTCTGAGTAGCTAGGATGACAGGCGTGAGCCACCAGCGTCTGGCCACTTCGCATTTCAACCTAAGGAATTTTCAATTGACAATGGGCTTATGGAGACGCCCTGTGTAAGTTGGGGAGCTCTGGACCTCAACCTAGAAGCTGCTACAAGTCTGGTGTTTGGAGTTGTGAGCTGAGCTCTGCCAGGCACAGGACTCGAAGAGGGACGGCCAGGCACTACACGCACACCATTTGCTCACATGTGGGCCATTGGTTCACACATGCGCCGTTGAAGAGTCAAGAAAAATCCAGGGGCTGGGAAGGTGGCTCAGTGGTAGAGTGCTTGCCTTGCATGCATGAGGCCTTGGGTTCAATTCCTCAGCACCACATACCCAGAAGAAGCCAGAAGTGGCGCTGTGGCTCAAGAGGTAGAGCACTAGCCTTGAGCTGAAGAGCTGAGGGACAGCGCCCAGGCCCAGAGTTCAGGCCCTATGACCAGAAAAAAAAAAAAAAAGAAAAAAAAAGAAAAAAAATATCCTGGGGCTGGGAATGGACTCAGTGGTAGAGTGCTTGCCTAGCATGCATGAAACCCTGGGTTGATTCCTCAGCACCACATTAAAATGTGGCACTGTGGCTCAAGTGGTAGAGCACTAACCTTGAGCCAAAAGAACCTCAGAGACAGTGCCCAGGCCCTGAGTTCAAGCCCCAGGACTGGTAAGAAAGGAAGAAAGGAAGGAAAGAAGGAAGGAAGGAAGGATTCTAAGCCAGGCAGTGATGGCTCACACCTGTAATCCTAGCTACTCAGGATGCTGAGGTCTGAGGTTTGAAGTTAGCCTGGGCAGGAAACTGGTATCTCCAGTTAGGCACCAAACAGTCAGAAGTGGAGCTGTGACTCAAGTGTTAGAGCCTTGCCTTGAGCACAAAAGCTCAAGTAAAGTACCCAGGTCCTGAGTTCAAGTCCTAGGACCCGAGCGCACGTGCACGGGCACACACAATCCCTGTGAAGAGTCCCACAGAGGAGGGGTGTCGGCTCCGCTTTTACCTGGATAGCAGCAGTTGAAGGCCCTCTCCCCTGGGGTGGGCTCTGGAGGGGGGTCTACAGCGCTCCTCCTCCGGCTGTTGCTGCCCTCTGGGGGAGAGCCCGCCGCCTTCGGGCCCTCACTGAGCAGCTCTGAAGCTGAAATCAAGACAGCAAAGTTTCCTTTCAATTCTTTTTTTTTTTTTGGGTCCGGTCATGGGGCCTGAACTCTGGGCCTGGGCGCTCTCCCTCAGCTCTTCAGCTCAAGGCTAGCGCTCTACCCCTTGAGCCACAGCACCACTTCCGGCTTTTTTTTTTTTGCTTATGTGGTGCTGAGGAATCGAACCCAGGGCCTCATGTGTGCGAGGCAAGCGCTCTACCACTGAGCCACCTTCCCAGCCCTCTTCTCTTTTCTTATCTGCCCCCATGTGGCTCAATTTCCACTCAGTCCCCGGAAACATTTCTCAAAGATGCAGGACTCGAATTACGGGAAAGTGAAATAAAAGGAAGAGCTCAAGCCAGGAGCTGGGTTTGAATGAAGGACCCTGTGCTCTATTTGGCTTTTTCTACTCAAGGCTGGAGCTCTACCACTTGAGCCACACCACCACTTCTGAATTTTTGCCAGTTAATTGGAAATAAGAATCTATGGGCTTTTCAGTCTGAGATGGCTTTGAACCGTGATTCTCAGATCTCAGCCTCCTGAGGTGCTGGGATTACAGGAGTGAGCTACCTGGTTCAATACTACTTTTATTAGATGCAGCAGGAAGCTGGAGGCTGTGGCTGATGGACCTAGGGTTTATAATCACCCGCCGACCCCAGTAGCTTTTGTTAACAGGTCAAAGAAGACACTTCAGGATCACAGAGCTCCAGGGAAACTAGATGCATTAACAAATAACCTGAAAGAACAGGGATGAGGGGAGACCCGGGACCGGCTTACAGAAGCTATCCTGTCTGAGGGATTGAACCCAGGACCTCATGTTTGCCAGGTGAATGCTTTACCACTTGAGCTATACCCCATCTGCTCCTCTTCTCTTTAAACTCTCCCTCATTAGCATGAATTAGCTCTCCAAGGGGGGGGGTTCACTGTGACATTTCCCCAATCTGTGCAGTGCCTTCCAATCAGCTCCCCATCACTCTCCTTATGCCCGCCCCCTTCCGGACACAACTTCCACACGGCTCCTTGTCCTAGTTTTATAGCTGCTGACAGTCTATTTTGACAATATTCATCCACTTTCACCTTCGAAGATTTCATTTTTGAGATAAGGGCTCTATGACTTTGCCTGGGCTGGCCTTGAACCTTCAGTTCTGTCTCTGGAGCAGCTGGGGATTATAGCTGTGCGCCAATAAGCAACACCCAGATAAAATTAAGACGACAAATTCCGTTTTATCATTCCTTAGTTGTGTGACCTTAATTGGGTAAGTTCCCTGGGGTAACATGGGAGATGGGGGGAGGTGCGGCTGGTCTCCCGGGGTTAGATTCAATTTATTGCTTTATGTGAAGCACCTCATTACGGCAAGTATCAAGATTGCTTACTGAGGGGGCTGCAAAGGTGGCTCAGTGGTAGAGTGCTTGCCTAGCATACCCGAAGCCCTGAGTTCAATTCCTCAGTACCACATACACAGAAAAAGCAAGAAGTGGGTCTGTGACTTAAGTGATAGAGCGCTAGCCGTGAGTAGAAGAAGCTCAGGGACAGCACCCAGGCCCTGGGCTCAAGCCTCAAGACTGGCAAAGAGGGGCTGGGAAGGTGGCTCAGTGGTAGAGCACTTGCCTTGCATGCTCAAGGCCCTGGGTTCGATTCCTCAGCACCACATAAGCAAAAAGAAAAAAGCCGGAAATGGCGCTGTGGCTCAAGAGGTAGAGCGCTAGCCTTGAGCTGAAGAGCTGAAGGACAGCGCCCAGGCCCAGAGTTCAGGCCCCATGACCGGACCCAAAAAAAAAAAAAAAAGACTGGCAAAGATAAAGTAAAAACAAAGATTGCTCACTGACAAGTTACTCGATTCTCAGGGGAAAACCTGTTTTCCCGTGTGAACTTGAACTGGGATCAAGTTGTGGGGTGGATTAAAGCCACATGTTGCATCCAACACAATGAGCACTGGGGGAGAAGGGGGGCTTCTACCTAGCACATCCGGGACATTGGAAGAGCCTTTGAGCCTGGAAGCGGAGTCCTGAGTGCCAGGCAGGCCAGGCAGCACTTCTGCCCCAGACTGTCCGGTTAGCTCACCTTTCCCCAGCTGCTATCTATTCTGCTGGAAGCCGGGTGCTGCCATGGTGACCGCTGCCACTAAATCAGGACAGTGGAGAGCAGCGGTCAGGTGAGAAGCTCAGGGTATTGAAAGGCAAGAGCCAAGAGGGCACTCGCAGGTGGTCAGTGGCAGTTTTGTACTCAACCAAGAAGCACGTGACAGAAGCAGAATGAGCAGTTAGTGATTACAAATGGCATCCAAGCAAAGTCAGGTGGCTGAGCCTCAAACAACATCCTGCGGCCATCTAGGTGCCTAGGCATGAGATGGGGCGGGCACCCAGGTCCTGGAGGCCAGGCAGCCTTCCTCTGAAGTGCAGATGCCCGGCTCAGTGGGGTGAGCTAGGAGGGCTCGCCCTAGAGAAATGCAGACGCCACCATAGCCCTAGGAAAGCACTGATGAGCTCCCCAAATTGCCTAGAGGTGAGACAAGCCATCCTTAGAAATGCAGATGCCATAGATCTCTTCTTAATAATTTTTTTCTTTCTGATTTCACATTATATATATATATATATATATATATATATATATTTGGGAGTGGCAGGGAATCATCACAACCCCTGTAATCCTAGCTACCTGGAAGCTGAGATCTGAGGATGGTGGTTCAAAGCTGGCCAGAGATTGAAAAACCTGTGAGACTCTTATCTTCAAATAACCACCAAAAAGTCAAAGTGGAGCTGTGGCTCAAGTGGTAGGGCACTTGCCTTGACTGAGAAAGCTCAAAGACAGTGTCCAGGCCCTGATTTCAAGTACCAGGACTGGCACCAAAAGGGGGTGGGTGGGGTGGGGGTGGGAGTGATGAAAATCTACCCTTCAACCTTTCCACCCAAAGCTCTTGGAATCGGGAGGCCCTGCCCGGTTAGGCACAACCTTGACTAAAAATAAAAGGCCAGCCCCGTGCTCAGTGTCACAGTCCCAAGATACAAGGATAGGATGGATAGCCGGGTCCTTGACACACACACACACACACACACGCACACGCACGCACACACACAGTGTACTGACCTAACTCCAGCGCCCGGGGAATTCAGCGATCTCACCCCCTCGCCCCCCTCCCCCCCATCTCTTCCGAGCTCCCAGTCTCCATTCCCAGCCCCTCGACTTCCCTTCGACTCCTAGGTTCCTCTGGGCACAGTCCAGGCACAGGAGAGTCCGGGATGAATTTTTTTTTTATACCCCGGTGGCTTGGGCCTGAAATCCTAGCTACTGAGGAGGCCGAGGTCTGAGGATCGCGGTTCGAAGACAGCCCTGGGCATCTCCAATTAACCACTCAAAAACTGGAAGTGGCGCCGCGGCTCCAGTGGCGGAGCGCCAGCCTTGAGCGCAAAGCGGCTGGGGAGGAGTTCAAGCCCCGGGACCAACAAAACCCGAAAAACAAGCAACAACATCCTCCCCAGCGCGGCCCCCTCCTCGGGGTGAGGTCGGCAAAGCCCCAGGCCCCCGCCCCGGCGGAGCGGGGGAAGGGGGCCGGCGGAGGGGAGGGGAGCCCGCGGGGCGGGGGCCCAGCGCGCCCCAACTCAGTTCTGGGGCTCAGGAAGCCTCCCTCCCGCCGGCTCGTCCCCAAACCACGGGGTGGGGTGGGGGGGCGGTCCGTGAGCCACGCGGTGGCCGGCGGCGGGGTCCCCCGACACCCCCCCGAGTCCCCTCGGGCCGCCAGCCCCGCACACCTCCGAGGCGCGGGCTCAGCTCTGGACCCCCGCGTCCCCGCCCGGCCCCGAACCCGGGTCTGCGCCGCGCAGGAAGTGTGGATGCGCTCGGCGCCGCCTCCTGGGCGCGGCCTAAGCCAGCGCGGGGCGGGGGCCCGGGGAGCCCGCGCACCCCGAGCCCGCGACGCGACCGCGGGGCCGGAGCCCGGGGCGCCGCCGAGCCGCGGGCCCCCGCTACTCACCCGCGCGCGCCGGCTCCTCGGCGTCGCGGTGCCGTGGCCGGGGCTGCTTGCGCCGCGACATGGCGTGCGATCGGGCCCGTGGCTCCCCGCGGGCGGCGCGCTGCACCCCGCCGACTCCCGGGGTTCGGAACCGCCCCCTCGCGGGCCGACCGCGCATGTCCGGGCAGAGCCGCCCCTCCGCCGGGCCGCGCGGCTTATCCGCCGCGCCAGGACCTCGGGGGCCCCGCTCCGCCCGGGAGCTGGCGGGGAACGCGGACGCTCGGCCCGGACCCCGCCGCCGCCGCCGCCCCGGATCTGCATTTTAACGAGGTCCCGGGCGAGCGCGGGGCCGCCGGGCTGCGGGCGCGGTAACGAGGTCCCGGGCGGCCCGCGCCATTAGCCGAGCAGACGCGCCGCGCGCGGCCCCCGGGGAGCTCGTTAAGGCCGGCGCCGGCTGCTAACGAGCCCCGCGGCGGGCCCAGGTCCGCCCGCCCGCCCCGGCTCCGCGCGCGGCCTGCCCGCCTCTCTCCGCCCGCGGCTCCCCTCGAGCCCCCGCCGCCTCAAGGAAAGGAAACCGGGCCGAGCGACGGCTCCCGGAGCCGCCGGCTGAAAAACGCACATGCCGAGAAAGTTCTGGACCCAGTGGGCCCCGGCCAGGCACCTGGCTTTGCTTTCATCCTAGCGCGCGTCCCCCTTGTGCCCGGGGGGCCTCGGCGCGCGCGGCCCCACCCCGGAGGAGCGGCGGGGCCGGGGCCTGGCGAGACCCGAGGGGTCCCCCCCCCCCGCCCCCCGCCGTGTTTATGTCTTCACGTCGGGGTCAGCCAGGCAGGGCGGGGCCGGCAGCCCGGCCCACCTGAGAATCCTGCGGGGCTGGTTAATCAAAGGCCAGACTCGAAGTGGACCCCGGGAGGCGGGCTCTGGAAGGATCCCTGACATCCACCCCGAGGACCAGGCCGGCCAGGAGCCAGATCACGACGAGGGGTGTCAGAGGCGCAGGGCCTGGGGTGGGAGTGGGCTGGGTCTGGGCGGAGAGGGGGAGGGCCCGCTGCGTGGCGGGAACTCCGGGCCGGGAGGGGCGGTCTGGGCGGGACTGGGGTCCCCAGCTGGGCGGGAGGCTTACCGGCCGAGCTGGGGTAACTTCGTGTGGAGCTTTGACCCTAGTTGAGGCCTTGTTCGACCCCATCTTGACTCACTGTGTGAGACGGTGTTTGAGTAGAGAAGACACCCTGAGCCACAGAGCCACATCCTGGTTCTCTGGGCCTAGTTCCCGGTATGCAGGGAACATCTGGTCCCCATTTCTCTAACAACCTACGTTGTTTCTGTTCAAGGCTGAGCGGTGAAACAAGTATCTTGCTGCTCAACTTGCAATCCCAGGATCCCGTCCGGGACAGAGCTCTAAGCCGCTCCATCCTGGGGTCCCCGGCCGGCCCTCGGCTGTTGGAGAGAAGTTGGGAGGAAAGCCTCGAGGTAAGCACGGTGGACCAGGACCTGGAAAGGAAAGGCCAAGGGAGGCCGCGGGCAGATGAGTCCCGACGCTGCAGGGTTCGCCTGGACCCCTGGACCCCGGCAGTCCTGGGGTCCTTGTCGGCCGAGGGCCTGCTTGTGGGGAGAATAGACTACATGCAGAGTGTGTTTGGTTTGGGGATCCTTCCTCCATCCGGGTGTAGCGGTGTCTGCCCGTGTCTCATTGCTTTCGCTTTTCCTTGCTGGGTTGGCAAGTGGATTTACTTGACACAGTGGGTTCACTCTCGGGACACCCCTAGACCTTGTCCTACTTCCTTTCCAAGATTTCCAGGAGAAAAAGCAAAAGAATCAGGAGACAAAGTGTATCCCCCAAAGCTGATAAGCCTTTTGTCACTGGAGTGGTCCACCTTTCAAACCGCGTGGCCACAGAGGGCACTTTTGCTCTTGCCCAAATCCATCACATCCAGGCAGCAATTTTTGGCCCAGAGGGATACCCCGGAGTCCCCTGTATTGTAACCTGGAGATAGCTAGTGGAGGAACCCCCAAATTGGCCCAAGTCTTATTTACCCCCCAGGTAATAAGACCCCTTCAATATTGGCTTTAAAAGAAAGACCTCCCCTGCCTAAGCCTTCGGAGACCCCAGTGGCCTCTTTGCCCTGCCCTAACCTTCCCCCCCCCCAACAGTCCCTGCTACAGGCCATGCGGTCAGGATCCAGGGATGGGGAGGAGAGAGAGGGAACAGAAAAAGAACTCAAAAAAGAACAACTCAGAGATGGAGAGGGAGGGGAAACAGTCTTTAAGGAAACTCCAAAATTCCTTCCCTTGTGGCTTATACCCCCTTTTTTCCTCTATCTATCTATAGAATTAGATAGAAGCCCCCCCCCCCCCCCCCCAGTTTTCAGTAAAGCATCGGCCTGGGCGCTGTCCCTCAGCTCTTCAGCTCAAGGTGAGCCTCTACCACTTGAGCCACTACGCCACTTTCGGTTTTCTGGTGGTTTATTGGAGATAAGAGTCTCATGGACTTTCCTGCTAGAGCTGGCTTTGAACCTCGATCCTCAGATCGCAGCCTCCTGAGTAGCTAGGATGACAGGCATGAGTCACCGGCGCCCGGCTTGAGCCCATCTTTATAACACACCAGCCCACCTGGGCTGATGCCCACCAGCCTTTGCAGTTTCTCTTTACTTCTGGAAGCCTGGAAGTTAGCCCTCAATGCACAAGGACAGCTGACCGACAACGAGGGCCCAATCAGAGATGTCCTTCCTCTTGAGGACCTGCGCTGGGATCCCAATGAGACTGCCCGAGGGGAGTGGCTAAAGGTCTTTCTCCAGACTCTATTTTGGGAGGTCTCCGGGCTGCCCCTAAACCAATGGATCTTTCTAAGGAAAGCGAGCTTATCAGAGGATGGGCTGGGAGCCCAGCTGACTTTTGGAGTGTTTAAAGGAGGCTCAGAGAACTTCCAGCCCCATCCATCCACAGGCTCCCAAAAACCCATGGCCGGTAATCTAGCCTGTGTGACCCACCTGCCCCAGACATCAGAGAGAAATGACAAGAAATAACAGGCTAAGAGGGGAGAGTACAAGGGAGACAGGGAAAGACGGTAGGACAGGAAAACCGGACTGGAAAGGGGTGGTAAGTGGGAAACTGGATGGAGATCAGGGTGCCGTTTGTAAGGGAAGGGACATCGGCCCAAGGAATGCCCTAACCCCAAGAAAAAGGCAGAGGCCCTCACCTTAGGGGGTCACTGAGGGGGTCAGGGCTTGACTTCCCTCCCCAGCCCAGGGGTTTTAAAGTGGAGGGAAAACCAGTACAGTTTTTAGCAGACACCGGGGCCCAATTTTTGTTTTACAGCAAGCCCTGGGTAGAGTACCGAAGGGCAAAGCACCGGTGCAGGGCCGGCGGGACCAGGCCTTAACCCTGACAGCAAGAGAACTGTGCATCTGGGGGGGGGGGGGCAGCGACTCATTCCTTTCTAGTAATACCAGACTGTCCCAACCCACTGCTGGGAGGAGACTTGCTGCATAAACGAAGGGCACAAATTAGCCCTGAAGGCCACCAGACCCAAATACGCCTACCCCCCCCCCCCCCCAGACAAAGATCCAGGTGACCTCGCACTTAGCCCATGAATCTGCACTGAAAAGACCAGCATGAAACAAAAAACCCAGCTTTTACAAGATTTAAGACAAAAATTCCCTCAACTATGGGTGGAGGTAACCCCCTCTGGCTTGGCTGCTCACCAGACTCCTGTAGTAGGACAGTTAAAAGCTTCTGCCCAGCCCTGCCCAGCCCAGCCAGCGCAGGCCAAACAATACCCCTTCTCTACAGAAGCCAAAAAGGGAATAAAAGTCCACATGGACTGATTGAGAGATGCAGGCATATTAGTCCCCTGTAAATCATCTTGAAATACACCGTTACTCCCAGTAAAAAAGCCTGGCAGGCCGGGTGCTGGTGGCTCACGCCTGTCATCCTAGCTACTCAGGAGGCTGAGATCTGAGGATCACGGTTCAAAGCCAGTCCGGGCAGGAAATGTCTTGGCAGAAAAAGTCTGTGAGACTCTTATTTCCATTAAACCCAGACAACCAGAAAGTGTGCTGTGGCTCAAGTGGTATAGCGCTGGCCTCGAATGGAAGAGCTCAATGACAGCGCCCAGACCCAGAGTTCAAGCCCTGTGACTGAACCCCCCCCCCCAAAAACAAAACCCAAACCCAAAACCAAAAGAACAACAACAACAACAATAAGCCTGGCTCAGGGCGGCGCAGGACCAGCGGGAGGTACACAAAAGAAGATATCTACTCTCCTGAGCCTCTTGCCTATCAAGAAATGTATGTACTGTTATACTGTCTTAGACCTCAAGGATGCTTTCTTGGGCTGGGAAGGTGGCTCAGTGGTAGAGTGCTTGCCTTGCATGCCTGAGGCCCTGGGTTCGATTCCTCAGCACCACATCAGCAAAAAGAAAAAAGCCGGAAGTGGCACTGTGGCTCAAGTGGTAGAGCGCTAGCCTTGAGCTGAAGAGCTGAGGGACAGCGCCCAGGCCCAGAGTTCAGGCCCCACGTCTGGACCAAAAAAAAAAAAAAGGATGATTTCTTTAGCATTCCCTCTCGCCAATATGCCAGCCGCTGTTAGCCTTCCAGTGGATTGGTCCTGGTGACATTAAGCAAGGCCCTAACTCTGGGAAAGGGTCTGGCCATGAACATCTACAGTGACAGCCGTTAGACCTTTGCCACAGTACATGTGCATGGGGCAGTTTATAAGGGAAGGACTGCTTACAGCAGAAGGAAAAACGATCAAAAATAAAACTGAAATTTTAAATGTATTGCTAGCCATCTGGCTGTCATCCACTGCCCAGGACACCAGAAAGGAGAGACGCTAGCGGCACCGGGCAGCTTGGGAAGCGGCAGGAAAAGACCCCGCCAAGGTCCTCCGGACCCTTGCTATTCACAAGATCTACAAGTCATACAGGCTTTGAGGGACACTAAGAGGAGAGGACAATGGACTTAACCCAAAATGGAAGAATCATCCTGCCCCAGACTTTTGGAGAGGCCTTCGTGCACCACATACACCAGGGAACACACGGGAAAGACCTAAGTTATACGAACGAATTAACAATATTATGTGCCTAAC